GAACTTTCTGAACGCTTGCCCAGGGATGACATTTCACTTGCCTTCAGCAGTGAGCAGGAACACTGGTATTAGTTAAAAGCTGGGGGAGTTCTGACATATTGTGGGCCAGCCCAAAAGAAGAAGCCAGGTGGCAGCCAGGTGAGGCTGTGTGCCCACCAATGACTCTTGTACAGATGTCCCACCTAGGCCTACCTGCAGCGCAGCCCCCCCAGGGCACAGAGAATAAGTTACACTGGATGTAGATGATGCAGTCACACATTGTGAGAGCGATGCCTCTCTCAGGCAGCCAGACTGCTGTCTGGTCTCAAACTGGTAGGTCTCAAAACACTAAGTTGGCGTGGTCATGCTGCCACGGCAACAGTGAGGTCATTGATACCCAGTGAGGTCACGTACGGAATCTTGCGACTCGAGGGGCAGGCTTCAGGCTCTCTTGTGGAAGAGAGCAGGGTGGGAGGCAGAGGGGCACCCTACCTGGCCCTTCCATCTAGCCCTGTGTATCCATGCCTTAGTCAAGTAGTCATTTCCTGTGGAATGTACCTGTGGGCTGGCACGGGAGGACAAGAGGCCCACATTCTGAGATTGGCTTGAAGGGCAAGATTAACCTAAGAGACAGCCAGGGTGTTTGGCACTGAGCCTAAGGATTCCACAGTTGGAAGGGCAGAGATTTGTGTGGACTAGGGAATCAGGGAAGGCTCCTTGGCAGTGGGCCTGAAGGGCAAGGGGACTTGGGACCTATGGAGAGGAGAGGGAAGGCACTCCAGGTGGGAAAAATAAAAGCAAAGATCAAGTTCTTAACCTTGCCCTGCCCCAGATGGTAATTCATAGAACCTTTGTGATTTTACAAGTAAGACTTCAAAAAACCAAGAAGTTAAGGCGCCTGTAGATGCCCCAGGCAGTGGAAAGGTGTTCTGCTCAAGGGTAGGCTTTCCCCTTGGGGCTCTGGATGTATAGCTGGTAGGAATGTGAGGAGAAGCTCATCGTATTTCAAAGTCACTCTGGGAGGGAGTTACAAGTGCTCTAAGGCAAAGTGAGGGTCCTGAATGACTTCACAGAGTGGGAATGAGAGCCCATTTGAATATGAATTAAAAAAGCTCATGACACAATGACATAACACAGAGTGACAACCTAATCATTACACTCCTCTCCCTCGAAAAGGCAAATCATGACTATCCGCTATCCGACCGCCACGAAAGGATACGTGGGCTCAGCGGCAGCCCAGGTGAAAAGCATCATCACTGTAAAGAGATGTCACTAAAAGGCAATTTAGTTCTACTCAGAGGGGGAGGAAATAGACAACTGTCCTTAGCCTGATGAGACCCACAGTAAGGAACCGTGTTTGGGAGGCAGCCTTTAATACAGTGTGTCCAGGAACTTTCTAGCAATGAGAGATAACCTTCCTCAGGAGGGGGCTCCATGTCACTGACCTTGAATAAGCAAAGATGGGACATTGTTTACTGAGGGTGTTGCAGAGGAGGTGTACCAGGAGGTAGAGACTACCTGGGCTCTCATTTTAGATGATGGGCAACTCTGGTTGAGAACCACAGCACCTTCTCTCTTAATTTGCTTGAATCAGTGTAGTGTGTGTGAGGACATTTTAAGTCTGGCCTAAATAGAGCAGTCTACGTCTGGAAGTGATAAACTGTGAAGGGGACGGCTCTGGAGGTTCATCCTGGCAGGTGGACCAGCCTGAGACCACTCACATTTTCCAAAGCTCCAGAGAGACTCCATGTTTGGAGTATCCCTCTGATCTGGTGAGGGTACTGATGATACTGCTGCAGTATCTGGCCAGACCTCTAGGGAAGGCCGAATAGCATAGACGAATGTTCTGGAAGCTTTAAGAGGGCTTCAGACTCACTTGGGGATTCCACAAAACAACTTAAGGATACTTTAAAGTGGATTCTTGGGTCAACTGTTACGCAGATCTGGAGTGGGGCTCAGAAATCCTCTTTTAACACTAATCAGGCTTCCTAGGCAGTTTGGCCACAGTGGTGCATGGATAGAGTGACCAAATTAGTGTCTAAAGTGGGTCGCTTTTCAAGAGTGAAAGTGGGCAGTATTAGAAACTGCATCAGCACAGATGTAAACAAGTAATATTCAAGGAAAACAGAGATGCATAGTTATTTTATGCACTAGTCACATTTGAGAAGAGCTAGCATGGTGGTTAAGAATACAACACAACCCTTGGTGCAGACAGACGGGATTCTGTCCTACTTGTGTGGTTTTGAACAAGTTCTTTTTTCCCCCCTGAGCTTGTTTCTTCACATGGAAAAGAAAGCTAAGACTGTACACTTTGTACAGTATTCTCTTTTGGTAAAGCTTGCCCTAGGTCCCTTTCTAATCTCTGCAACCTTATCCTTTTCTGTGTGCAAGTGTTTTTAGGTTATTTTGTAGAGTATTGTATTTAAGCCTCAATTGTTCATTACTTTGAGCAAAGCTTAAATAATGCTGCAGAAACTGCAACCTGGGAGATGAGGATGCTACATGCTTATTTTGACTGTTTTTTAAAACAGTTTAAGCCTTTCTCCTCTTCCTCTGCCCTCAAGAGATGGTAAAGGTGAGGCTGGAAATGCACAGCAAGCAATACCTCTGTGTCTGTCTGCCTTTTTTTCTTCTGCCTGTACTTACTGAGAGATTTCATCGAGAGTACTGAAGCTTGCCATAGACTATTGCTGAAGAAAATTTCTCTCTACTGCTAGTCACATCCCCTTTCCTTTCTGGGAGTGTAATGGGCGTTTTGTGGACAGGAAATAAAATCTAAATGTTTAGAAACTAAAACATCAATTGAAAGAGCCTTTGTCCTAGGTTTGTATAGTTCGCAGTGTGAATCTATTCAGATTCCAGGGACCTGCTCCAATGGTACCTATTATTAGGGAAGACCCATAAAAACATCATTTATTTTTAGAAATCATGACATAATACAAAGCCAAAATCGACTTTATTTTTCATGAGTCATGTGAAAGACTTAAGAGCCATGCTCAGTAGCTCACCCTCCAGTGCTGGCCAGCAGCTCACCAAGCCTTCAGGGAGGTGACTGGGCAGCACAGCATGTCCTACTAACAAGTGTGCTCACCCACCATTGGCACCTCAGTTAAACTAGCTGCAATCAAGGTTGATGGGACAAAGGCTCTCTCACTGAGGACCCTAGTCCTGGAAGGCTTCTCCTCCGGCGAGCTGCCAGCTCAATCTTCTGAACCAGACTCACATCCCAGGGATGGGTCACAAAGCTGATTATGGTGCCTGGCACCTTGCTCCCCACACGGCCCACCCTCCCTGCTCTGTGGATGTAGTCCTGCAGGGTGAGGGGGAAATCATAATTGATAATTAATTCCACGTGGGTGCTGTCCAGGCCCCGAGAGGCTATGTCTGTGCAGAGAAGTATGTCTTGGGAGCCCTTCTGGAAGCACTGGAAAATACCTGCCCTCATTGAGGCTGGCATTTGTCCCTGCAGCCTTAGGTGTTGAATTTTGTGGTCATCCAGGATATATCCCAGCCAGTTCACAGTGCTGGAGCTATTACAGAACACCAGAACAGTTCCTGAGGCGCCAGTCCTACGTGCTCTGTGATGCTGCTTGAGGATCTGTACCAACTCAGTCACCTTCTCTGCTCCCTTCAGTCTCATAAATGTCTGTCTGACATGAGGCATGATACAGTGGAGCTTGGAGCTGGTGATGGTGGTTAGGGAGTCTGGGCTGGCAACTTTACTAAGCAGTTGGCCTACACCTTCGGGAAATGTGGCCCCCACCAGCACTAACTGGGCTTTGGGATTGAAGGGATCTTTTAAGTCATCTGGACCTTCGGCTATATGGCTCTTCTCCAAGATGTAATCCACCAGTTCCAGGAAACTTTCATCTAAGAGCGTGTCTGCCTCATCCAACACCAAGAAGGAGAGCTGCTCCAGGCTGATCAGATGACTTTTCAGGGCCTTCCACAGAGCCCCCGGAGTGGCAACTAGCACATCTGCTGGAGGTTGTTTGGACAGTTGCAGCCTGATCCTCCTCATGCCATGGCCTCCCCCTAGCTCTCGCACCTGGAGGCCCAAGGAGCTGCCCAAGGTTTGTGCCACTGCACGCACCTGTTCAGCTAATTCCCGCGAAGGCACAAGGACTAGACCCCGGGGAGCAGGGATACGGCGGGAGTCAGGGATTGGCCGGCCCAAGAGCCGCTGAAGCAGAGGTAATAGGTAGCTGAGAGTCTTGCCACTGCCAGTTTCTGCCGCGCAGATGACGTGGCTGCCGCAAAGTAGTGGAGGGATGACGCTCGACTGCACGGCTGTAGGATGAACGACTTCGGGAGCAGCCTCCTTTAGAACTTGCAGCAAGCGGGGCTCCAGACCCAGATCGGCGAAGTAGCCCACGGAAGAGAGGTTCCGAAGCGCTGGTGCCTCTTGCTGCGCGCGCTCGATGGAGAAGTGGTCCTGCACGGAGCGCCGATTCTTCCAGCCACGCGAAGCAAGCGGCGCGCTCTCCCAAATGCCCAGCGTGAGGCGCGCCGGCTGGTTCAACTCCCGTCGCCGAGCCGAGATCAGCAGCCGGCCAGGTCGCACCAGCGCCGATCGCAAGGGTCCCCGCCGTTCGCTCTGCCGCTGTTCCTGCCGCCGCTGTAGAGCCCGCGGAATGCGCACTACGGGCAGGGGCTCGTCGGCTCCGCGGGCCGCCAGATCCCGTCGAGGCACCCGAGGCAACCGAGCCACAAACGCAAACATCCCCAAGGACCGCGCAACGGCCATATTCCTCTCGGTGCTGCAGAAACGCACAGCAGAGACGTCACGGGCGCGCCGAGGCCTGGAGGACGGTGTCCGACGCGGCTCAGTAATGCTCGCCTAGTTGGCGAATTGTGAGGAAGGAGGGACGTTCTGTGGAGTTACGCGGCGGCGAGGTCTGTAGGTCTGAACAGGGAGTGGATGGCAACGTCCAGACCCGGGTCAACCTTGGGGAACAGCAAGCGATGGAGGCAGGACTGGGGTTGAGCAATACGCGGCGATGGGTACCTGGCGTTCTGGACCCAGCAGGGCAGAAGGCTTCTGGCGATTGGGTGTCCGATCCTTCTGATTCTCACAACGTCCTCCCCTGTGATGGCTTGTCCAGTGCTGGTCTCCCGCAGTAAATAACGAGGGTGTGGTGGTATCTTCCCAGATATGCTTGCCGCGCAAGGTCTGGTAATGCTTTTTAGAGTCTGAATGAATGGTCGGGCCCTGGGGCCGAGAGACAAGGGCACACACGCACACACGCCTCCTGAATAGCTGAGAGCCCAGAGGGCAAGCTCGGGGGTTTTCCTCTGTGAAGTGGTAGGTAAGATCTATGGGCTTTACTTCAAGCAGGTTCATCTCTTCACATTTGTTTCCTTCCTTTGCAGGCGAGGTTCACTCTCCATTCCCTTGTGACCGTTCCCAGCTTCTCCTCCAGAACCCACCACACTAGCAGTTCAACTCAACCTCCACTGCCTTCCCAGTGACATACCTAAATTGCTTGAATAGCAGTGAGGAGGGTCCTTCTACACCAGCGAGTGATCAGGTAGGTGGCTTATCTCACATAGTCCTGGTCAGGCAGAATATTTTAGGTTGCAAAATAACCCCTACACTATTTGTACTTCTTGAACAGACGTAAAAATGGGTGTTAGATCTTTAATGTAGTCCCCAGTGCGTGGGGTAGGAGTAAGATAAATGTGGTTTCTGAATCTGTGGGAAAAGTGTTTTAGTTATATCATATACCATTAAAAAGATGAAAACTTTAAAAATGTTGAATACCGTTTTGATACACAAGTAGACTTTCTGGAGAGTCACCTGTTAGACCAGCAGAGGAGAGAATTTTGAGTAGTGACAGGTGCACAGAGTCATTGGCTAGAGCAGTGGTTTCTCAAGTGAGGGTGTTTTTGCCCCCTTCCTCCCCACCTGGGACATTTAACAATGGCTAGACACACTTTTAGGTGTCATATCTGGGGAGGCACTACTGAGTTTGAATGGGTAGAGGCCAGGGATGCTGTCAAACTTCATACAGTGTGGGGGTAAGTCCCCCCCTCCACAAAATATTACTTCGTCCAAAATGTGAATAGTGCAAAGTTGAAAAAACCCTGGATAGAGGATGAAGACTGCAGAGAGGCTGAGGTCACTGCATGTACTCTTGCTTCAGGTAGGCACATTTACCAAACTCTTGCACCAGCTGCCCCATCCCCAGAATCTGTAGAGGCCCACTAATGCCATTGCTTGTCATACCCTTGCGATCAGGGACCTTGGAGTTCCCTGAAAGTTGTAAACACAGGAAAGAGTGATTTAAGAGAGTGAAGCTGGAGAAGTTTTGGGGAACAAACCTGTCCTCCTGTATTTGGGGACTGTGCCAGATGGAAGAGAGATGAGGTGTGCTGTGGGATGTACCATTCCAGGAGGCAGGAATGAGACCGATGGGTGATAGGGAGGCAGATTGTGAATTTGGTATAAAGAACTGCTGTAGCAACAAGAATTGCTCAGATCTGTTCTTGAGAGCACTGAGTTTTCCATCATTGAAAAGTTCATATATAGGCCAGCTGAGCACTGATTGGTGAGAAGATAGAGGGGAGTTGATATAAAGGATAAGCCAAGGTACTGTGAATCTATACCATTTCTATGAGTCTTTCCAAGAACTTGGGGCTCCTTGTTCTTGAGCTAAAAAACTCGTTGGAGGCCTGACCCAGCAGGTTTCATCCATTTACTTGTGTACTATTTTTCAGATATAAAACTAAGAACTGCCTTGTACAAAGCCAGAACAGATACATTGACAGAATCATCAGGAAGGATAATAGGTAGGTATGTATTTGCATTTGTGTTTTGCCCACATATTTGGGGCAGGGTAGCTGGTTCTTATATGGCTTCTTTCTCATCATGCTTAAGCTCCTAGAATACTTTAAAATCTCACAGTGTTTGGAGTGCATCTGAGCCTATCTTTGCTCTTGGTCCCTAATTTCTCCTTGTTAGTTCTCTCTTTAGAGAGAACTTGAGTCAGAGATTATTTCATAAGGTAAGTCCTTCCTCCTCAATCCCCATCAGAACCTTCCCTGCTGACATAGACTCCTATAACCTCATGCAACTGCTCTTCATGGCCCTGGACACAGTTGTAACTTTACACATATTTGTAAGTTCCCCTTATGAAAGCCTGTCTTCTACTGTACATTTTTTTCTCACCTCACTTCATCATTTTATGTCTAGTGCAACCAGTGCTTTGCATATCATAGGGGTCCCATAAGTGTCTATTGATGAATAAATGAAGACAGGGAGGCAGCTCAAGAAAAAAGATTGACTTTTTTTACACATATTTAGTGTAACATACCCTTAAGACATCTGAGTGGGGGTGTGAATGAACATTTGTGTGAGGTTGAGATACCTTTGAAAATCACCAGCCTTTCACCAATATTTTAATCCATGGGAGTGAATAAATTCACAGGGGAGTGTGTGTGGAATTAGAAAGGAAGAAGGCCTAAGACTAAGGAGGAACCTCAAGATGTGAGCAGAGGAGGTAAAACCAGCAAAGAATACGAAAAAGCACGGGCAGAGAGGTAGGATAAAAATCAGGATAGTGTAAGGTCAGGGACGCCCCAGGAGGAGAAACAACAAAGAGGAAGAAGGAGGCCCAAGCAAGTCACCAACTGTTAGTGAAACAAGGTTGAGGATGGATAAGTGTCTAGTAGATAGAGCAACTCTGAGGTAACTTTGGTTACTTCAATCAGAGCAGCTTTGGCAGAGTGGTGGAGGTGGAGGCCAGACTGGAATGGGCTAAGGAGTAAAAGAAAGAGGAGCCTGATGGACAGTGACTGCATTGGGGATTGTGGGGGGGACTTGGTGAAGGTGGGAACCTAGTTAACATAATGTTCTGCATGTAATTGTTGATTAATGATAACAAGATAGAAAAAAAAAAAGAACGAGGGGCCTGTAGTACTAACTCTGGGCAGAGCATGCTTTTGCCAGCTGTATGACATTTTAGAGGGACCATATTTGCTTAGAATAAATACATTTACAGTTATCTCTGGGATATGGAACTTTTAATTTTCTTTTACATCTGTTAACTCTACCTTCAAAGTATATTTAGAATGTGATCACTTCTCACTACCTCAACTACCAGGTGCCCAGCCTCAGCACCATCATCTCTCACGTTGACTTCTGAAGACCCTCCTAATTGATCTCTGTGTCTACCTGACCCCCAGTAGTCTGCTCTTCATATTGCTGTCACTGTGACTGTGGTAAGAAAAACATGCTCAGTCAGGCCACTCCTCTACTGAAAACCCTTTATGGGCTCTAATTTTGTAAAGAACTAACAAAGTCTGTAGAGTGTCCTACAAGGCCATACGGGGGGATCTGATGACCGTGTCCTATCTGCTCACTGCTGTCACATCAGGTATCTGACTTCCATTACTCTCTCTTCTCCTTTTTGTGCTCCAGCCAAGTGTGCCTCCTTGTTGTTCCTGTAACACACCCACCAATCAAGCTGCTGTCTGAGGGCCTTTGCACTGGCTGTTTGCTCTGCTGCGCACTCCTCCACTAGATACCAACTTGGTTAACTGAAATCTTGTCTTCTCATTGAAGCCAATATTGGGCTTCTTTGTTTAAAATCTTAACCTGTGAAGGTGGTTCAAAGTTGCAGGGATGTCATGTACAGCATGGTGAATATAGTTAGCACATCTATATTGTACGTTTGCAAGTTACTAAGAGAGTAGATCTTAATAATTGTCATGACAAAAAAAGAAAACTTACAATATGTGAGGTGATAAATGTTAATGAAATTTATTGTGATAATCATTTTCCAGTATACATATATCAAATCATTATGTTGTATACCATAAACTAATATAATGTTATATGTCAATTATATCTCAATAAATTGGCAGAAAGTTATCCCATCCACTGCATTTTCAATCTCCTTTCTCCCTGCTCTTTTCCTGTCTACAGCACTACCAGTTTTCCAGTATACTATATACTTTACTTATTTGTTGTACTTAATGTTTTTTTTCCCCCTCACCAAAAGGAAAGCTCTCCCAGAGCAGACATTTTTGTCTGTTTTTTTCTCTAAGGTACCCCAAAAGACCAGGAGAGTGACTGGCCCAGACTAGGCACTTAAGAAGTATTTATTGGATGAATGAATGAGCATTATTTTTATGTTCAGTGAAAAGGAAAACAAAGTAGTATGTGTTGAAAGGAAGGAGGAAAGCCTGCCCTGGATAACAGAAGAGGTTTCCTTCCTTTGAATTTCTCTTGCTTTCCCTCTCTTCAGGCTGTCGCAGAGGAGGAATGATAGTGGACAGCCTCTCACTGTGCTACCGCAACAAACTCATCTTAGCCCCTATGGTTCGGGTAGGGACTCTCCCAATGCGGCTGCTGGCCCTGGATTATGGAGCGGACATTGTGTACTGTGAGGTAAGAGGCTCCCAGTTTTCCCAGAGAAGCTTCTTCGAGCGCAGGTTCTCCATGTGTGGGAGGGAGTGGTCAGGAGTAGGGAGTGGGGGCAGAATGGGCACTCACTTCACAGATGCTCATGGAAGGTCGCTGCGGGGAAGCACATGACACTCATGAGTTCTGTGAGCCCAGCTGAGGCCCGGAAGCCGGGGCAGCATAGAGGCCAGGTGAGTCGATGAGCATTGTGTTAGGTTGCTGCCCTGGCGCCTACAGCAGTTAATACACATTCAATACATGAATGAATGAACTCAAGGTTAGGAAGAGGAGGACAAGGACCAGATCCAGGGGAGGGAAACTGGATGGGCTTGGTTTTGGGAGTCACAGGATTTTCTGGTGGTAGTAGCTAGCAGGTCAGTTACTTGCCAGTGTCTCTGGAGAATATTAGGACTTCAGACCCAGGTTTAGAGAGCATCTTCTAGGAAAAATAAAATTACAGGAGTAACTGATACTGGATAGTGAGAGAGTGTGAGCAGTGGTTCTCAGCTGGGCCCATTTTAGAATTTTCTGGAGAGCTTCCCCACAGTCCTCAATCCCAATATGTCCCCTTAGTGGGTGTGAGAAGTTTTATGAAGAAGCCACCTAAGTGTGTCTTATATTTCCATCTTTAAAAGGCACTGGTGGTGGGATGAGGGCTGTGGCTACAAAAGATCCACATGAGGAATCCCTGTGGTAATGGAACTATTCTGTGTCTTACTGAATCAGTGTCAATATTGTGGCTGTGATATTATACTACAGTTTTGTAAGATGTTACCACTGGGGGAAATTGGGTGAAGGGTACATAGTATCTCACATTCTTACAACTTCATGTGAATCTCCAATTATCCCAAACAAAAAGTTTAATGAAAAAGAAAGCTACCAGCGAAGAGAAAAGGGAGGGCTTAACAGGGGATTTGGAAAGAATATAACCTTCTGTACTGGGTGTGTGTAGGGGGCAAGGGGGCGGTGGACAGCAATTCATGATAGAGAAATGAAAGAGTGAGAGAAATAGGCTACTTAAGAAAAGTGGCATGTCAGGCAGAAGTCCCAGGTCTGTTAGCTATGTCTGATGATGCAGAGAATCCACTTGTAAAAGATAAAGAAGGTATTTGATTTGAAAATTAGTTGATTGGAGGACAGTATGGTACAACAGATGGGAAGACTTTCTGTAGTCAACAGATCGAGGAGTGAACAGCAAATGAGGAGGTGAAAATAGGGCTGCTGACTTCCCCCCCAGAATTCAAGAGGTGAAAGGAGAAAGAGAGGGCAGGCAGGTAGTGGAGGTGAAGGACGCTGGGTGAAACGAGTTTTTTTTAGGCAACTTGCCTATTTGTAGCATGAGGAAGGCCCCAGCATTGAGGGGAGGCCTGAAGATTTGGGGACTTAGTGGAGATGGGTAGGGCCAGGTAGGGAGAGGGGACAGGATGAGGTGGTGGGACCTGCTGTCCTCTAGTGTAGGGTGAGGAGGAGAGGGAGAGGGTGATGGGAGCACAGGAAGTTGAGGGGCTTTGCCTGAGAGACTTGGTTGACAAGGTGTAGGAATCCCATCTTCTGTTGGAAATGAGGGTGGCAGGTGTGGGACAGGGACCTGAGGAAAGAAAGCCAAGACGTTTTGGTCCTGTTCCTGTGGGGAATGAGCAGTGGGAGGTTTGCCTGGCAGCCAGGTGTGCAGGGTTGCCAGTTTGCAGCTTTATGGGAGGTAGAAGCCTGGCCAGGAGATGTCCACGGCTGGGATTGCCATGATGGTATATATGGTAGGGCAGGGTCCAGGGCATCTGTATGGTAGGGCTGGCAAGGTGAAATGGGAGGGAGGGAATACGTGTTGTCTAGAGGTGAGAGTCAGAAAAGGAGGTTCTAGAGTTCAGAATTACAGAGGCCTGAGACCTGAGTCCTTAGTGGTTTGTCAGAGTGAAGCCGATGGTGTGCAAGAAACGTGCACTGGGCTGTTAGTGTACATCCACAAGGCATTTGGGCTGCCAGAGTGTGCCTAGGGCAGGGAGGAGCCTGTTCCCTGGGCCAGTTCCCGGGGAATGTGGTACTACGCTGAGCATTACTGCCAGTCACTCATCCCTGAGCCCACGCTCAGGCCCCCAGGTGGCCAACCATGGGTCACGTGTAGCGTTTCCTTTTCAGCATCCTCCTTGCCCTCCAGACAGGCCTCCTGGATTTGGAAGGGGGTTGGGAGGAGGGACTGTGAAGAATCAAGAACTCAGAGGCTGTGGACTGGGGGCCAAAAAGCCCCAGTTCCAGAGAACTTAGACAGCTGTGAACCTTTCATTGCTTGTGATGCCCCTCGTCCTGCTCCCAGGATGATGACAGAGAGGGACATGATAGCTCTTCATTCCACTTAGTCCACATTTACCAACAGGGTCCTTCGGGATGACTCAGACTCAAGGGTGAAGCCGCCTGCTTCTTCCCTGCTGCCCAACTCCCTCTGTGCAGCTGCACCCTCCCCGCGATTGCTGCAGGGCCCTGGGTCTGTGGTGTCACTCTCCTCTCTCCCTAGGCATCGCACCTTGTCTCCGTCCGTTATTTGCTTACTCTGATGGCCCTCCATGGCCCTTCTCTCCCTAATGTTGTGTTCATTGAAAGCAAAAGTTGGTCTTTACTTTTAATTGAGTGCTAGCCCTTTATGTTTAGATTCACTTACGTCTCTACTCTGGCTGTCCTGCTGGTTTCTTCTATTGGAACAAGTTGTGGTAAGGGCTTCAGGCCTTTAGAGGCACTGTCTCCCCTGGGCTCAAGTTTATGCTGGGGCCAGATTCTCGGGGTTGTAGAAATTGAGAAAAAGGCAGTAGTGCCTACATTAATGTATTCAGCCCCCTTGGCCTTCAGTTTTCCTGTGCAGGGAGCATTTTTCTGGGACTCCAGGAAGTTGCACTCGCTTGGAGCTAGGTGGAGTGAAACACCAGGATTGGAGTGAGTGACTGCATGGCAGCAGTGCCTGTTCTAGGTAGCCACTACATGTGGTGGGGGTCACAGAGCTGGGCTGGGCGAGCAGTGCTGCTGCAGGAAGCAGAGCTGATCTTCCAGGTTCCAGATGCTACAGCAGCCACTTCTTTGGGAATTCCTACGGTCATTTCATGCGCTTGGGAAGTCATAGAGCAAGAATTTATGTGCTGACTTCAGTATGTGGCCCTCCTAATTGGTCAAAACTTTTCCTAGTAAGTGTGACCATTCCTTTCCTCCACAACTCTGCTTGAGTTTGGAGTAGAGGAAAGAGTGATTAAAAACCCTTTAGCATGTTTGATGGACTCTGGGAGAGTGAGTATGGCTAATGAACAAACAGAGGGGTCCCTGCTGCAAGAGACCTAGGCCCTCCACTCAGACCGAGCCTCTGTGGAGAGCAGAGGCAGGCTGGCTAGCGGGCCCCTGCTTGGTGTTGGGAGGTGGCTGGGGACTGGGCCCTGAGTACTGGGCATGTACAGTGTGGTGCCTGGTGCCCCCTGCTGGATCCAGAGTTGCTCTGCAGGCCTGCTGTCTGGATGATCTTACTGGTTCACATGTGGTGGCCCATCTGTGGGACTAGTTAAACCACCACGCCCATCTCACGGGACTGATTATAGGACCTAGGGCATACCCAGCATGAAGGCACCTCCTTAGAAGCTCTGCAAAGCCCTCAGCAGCTGGAGCTGAGGAAAGGGTGAATCAGCTGAGCAAAAGTCAAGGGAGCAGTAGTCTGATTCCCTGCCGAGTTCTGCCTTATTGACAGGAGTTTTGTGTGAGTTCTTCAGATGTTGTATATCTACTCCCTTTTATAATAACGGTGGAACTGCGGTAGCCTCGACTGTGAGAGGACATCCACCTGCTGAATTTAAACCTTTTAATAAGCAGAATTGAGGGGGAGAGCAATGTTCTTAAGAGGCCCTGATTACCAGAATGGGTATTTAAAAAATTTTTTTTCTATTATGGTAAAAAACACAACATAAAATTTACCATCTTAACTGTTTGTAAGTGTGTAGTTCACTAGTGCTAGATACCTTCATATTGTTGTGAAATAGATATTCAGAACGTTTTCATCTGACAAAACTGAAACTTTATACCCATTAAACAACTACCCCCCCACCGCCACCCCTAGGTAACCACCATTCTTTCTGTTGCTATGAATTTGACTACTTTAGATACCTCACGTAAATGGAAACATGCAATATTTGTCTTTTTGTGAGTGGTTTATTTCACTTAGCTTAATGTCCTCAAGGTTCATACACGTTGTGGTATTTAGCAGGATTTCCTTCCGTTTTTAGGTGGAATAATATTCCGTTGTACATGCTGCATTTTGTCTACCCATTCATCTGTTGGTGGACATTTGGGTTGCTTCCATGTTTTGGCAATTTTGAATAGTGCTGGTATGAACATATAAAATATCTCTTTGAGATCCCACTTTCAGTTCTTTCAGATATATATATATATACCCAGAATGTGGGATTGCTGGATCATGTGGTAGTTCTGTTTTTCATTGTATATTTTTCCTAGCACTTGCACCATTTTACAATCCCACCAATAGTTCACAATTTCTCTGCATCGTTGCTAACACCTGCTATTTTGTTTTTGTGGGTTTTTTTTTCATAGTAGCCATTGAAGTGATAGCTCATTGTGGTTTTGATTTGCATTTCTCTGATGACTAGTGATTTTGAATATACTTTTGTATGCTTCTTGGCCATTGGTACATCATCTTTGGAGAAATTTCTATTCAAGTCCTTTGCCCAGAATGGGTAATTTTTTATTAAAATTTTTTTTTAAATTTTGTTATCATTAATCTACAATTACATGAGCAACATTATGGTTACTAGACTCCCCCCATCATCAAGTCCCCATCACACACCCCATTACAGTCACTGTCCATCAGCGTAGTAAGGTGCTATAGAATCACTACTTGTCTTCTCTGTGTTGTACAGGCCTCCCCATGTTCACCCCCAAATTATGTCTGCTAATCATAATGCCCCTTTTACCCCCTTGTCCCTCCCTTCTCACCCATCTTCC